CTGGATGTGCCCAGCTCAGCCGGGTGTACAGGGCAAAAATCAAGTTCCTTTTTTCCTCATTCAACTTCAGTGTGAGCTGGAGCACTTTTAAGGGCTGTAGAAGGTGACAACACGGATTATGTGGCAGGTTACTGTCAGGGGAAAGGCTACGCTGAAACTATTAACATGTTGCCATAACTTTTGGATCTTTATTGGCAGTTCTCAAATCAGGCCGGGAGTCTGGATGCAAACCAGCAGCTGCAGATGGCGCTGGAGGAGAAGGCGAGCCTGGAAGCTCAGGTTGCTCAGGTAAAAGGCTGAGATGACCCCAATCTTGACATCTGTATAGAAACCGCTGTGGCAGAAGGACGCAGCCTCGGCGTACCACTAACGCGGGTTTCTTCAAGCTTTATCCCTTAAGCAGTTGCTGCCAAATTTATTGAGCCAAAACCGTTCTCTTCGTGCTTGATTTTGTTTTGAACAGCTCTCGGAGTCCCTTCACCAGCTCCAGGCAGAAAGAGATCAGTATGTAGAGAAACTGAAGGAGGAGCGGAGCATTTGGCAGCAGCGGGTCCAGCAGCTCTCCGAGCAGGTAACACCAGGGGCAGCATCAGAGCTGCTTTTGACCAACAGAGGCAGGAGGAAACGCCCCGTGAACGTTGTTTTAACTTTCACTTGCGTGGCCCTGCAGGTGCACACAATGGCTGAGGAGAAGGAGAAGCATATGGCCCGGATCCGGGAGCTGGAAGCCAGCGTTTCAGAGCTGTTGAGCACATCAGGTAGGGCTTGGTGCTGCGGAGTACCAGCCGGTTAGCTCCGTCCCCGCTGCGCGGGAACATCTGCACGCTGGGTGCAAGCAGGGCCGATGCTCTGTGAAGGCAGCTGAAAGCCTGGTGAGCCCGAGGAATCTTTCATCCTAGCAAACAGCAAGTGAACTCTTCACATATTTGACCAGCAGACTCTGTATGTCTGTAGTATCTGCCTGACTGTGTTCTGGCTCAGGCGTCTGGGCAGGCAGGATGCTCTTGCTAGGGCCCTGAGTGAGTTAGCAGCACACAGGATGCTGCTGTGCTTGGTTTTGGGTTGGTTTTGCTCCGTCGTTCCTCTCGGTGCCCCGCAGCAAGGACCGGATGCTGCACCTGGTGATACCTGAGCCCTGTAAGATGGGGTACGCTTTGGGTATGTAAGTGATGTGTACTGCACAGCAGTTCAGCCCTTGGAGCTGCTTTTGGTCCCGTTTCCTCCGCAGTTAAGCCCATGGACGTTGAGCCTTCTGTGCCAGAAGGGCCGACGGCAGCTGAGCTGAGTCTGCAGGAGGAGATCCAGCGGCTGCAGCAAGAGAAGGAGGAACTGCACGGGCAGTACCAGGCCCAGGTCCGGGACAACGAGCAGCTGAGCCACCTCTACCGGGAGCAGGAGGAGCGTCTGCTGGAGCTCGAGAAGGCTGTGCAGCGCTACAACGAGGAATCTGTGGACAGACAGCAGATCCTGGAGGACATGCAGAGTGACAAGGCCACCATCAGTAGGGCACTGAGCCAAAATCGGGACCTGAAGGAGCAGCTGGCTGAGCTGCAGAATGGGTTTGTCAAGCTGGTATGTCTCTTTCGTGCATCTTTTCCCACTGCTTCCCCCACTGGAGCAATCCTCTTGTAGCACGGATGTTAAAATCTGGCAGAAGCATTATCTCTGAAGCTATGGGTGCTCCATCTTCTGTGGTGGAGGTTCCCTGGAATTCCTTACTCCCTCAGGTGCTTTGGCAGATGAACCAGTATCTTTGTCCAGAGCAGTTTCCTTTTTCCTCTCATCCCCGGGCAGTCAGGCTGTTGCTTTCCCAGAGTATTCCTCTGCCCCTTTACCCTTGAAAATACCCATTTTCTGTTCCCTGTATTTGCCCATGAGGGAGAAGTTCTCCGCAGTTTTCTCTCCTGCTGCCGTCATTCTTACTCGTCCTGGAGCCGAATCCTTACTCTTGCTTCTTTCACTGTAGCAGCTTCCCCTCTGGGGCCCTGGCACGCTCACGCAGGGTCTAACCCCTGGTGTTTCTTTAGTCCTTTCCAAACTCCACGTTTCTGAACGGCTGTGACTCTTTGGGACGTTCATACCCCCATCTGCTTTGGAGCTGACAGGCTGTGTGATGTGCCTGGCCTCCTCTTGTCCCACCACCTGATTCCCCTGGCTCTTCCCTTGCTCTTCCCCAACTTTTGAACCTTTCTGCCCGTTATCTACTGCCCTGAGCAGGCAATTTAACAGCCCTTGGTCACACCCCAGCATAACACAAGGGATGGCAGCCTGTTGTACGGGGAAGGAGCGTGGCTCACGCAGAGTTTGTGGTGGTTGGGGTTTGCTTCTCCAGCGGGTTTTGTCTTGCAGACCAATGAAAACATGGAGGTGACAAGTGCCCTGCAGTCAGAGCAACACGTGAAGAAGGAGCTGGCCAAGAAGCTGGGGCAGCTGCAGGAGAACCTGGGGGAGCTCAAAGAGACGGTGAGCGACAGCCGGCGGGATGGCAGGGCCGGTACGCAGCGGTGGCTGCGAACTGCCGGCGGCCTCCCCAGCTGGGATGGCGATTGATGCTGGGATCAGGCCGGGAGCCTCCCCCCATCGTCTGCTGCGGGGGCAGACGGTGGCTGCCTGCCTCGGTGGTGGCTTTGGGGCGCTGTTGACAGTTCGGATCGTGTCACGGGGATCAGCTTTTCTGGCAGAAACGGTTTGATGGGATGGTTCCGTTTTGTGTTAGCTGGAGCTGAAAACACAGGAAGCTCGGGGGCTGCAGGAGCAGCGGGACCAGTACTACGGCCACTTGCAGCAGTACAGCGTGGCGTACCAGCAGCTCTCTGCCGAGAAGGAGGAACTGCACAAGCAGTACTTGCTCCAGACACAGCTTATGGATCGGCTGCAGCACGAGGAGGTTCAGGGGAAGGTGACAGTGGAAATGCACCTGAAAGAGCTGCAGCAAACCAAGGTGACTAAAAAGGGGCCAGTGCAAAGTGGAATGATGGGAGGGAGAGTGCTTAACTACATGAAGCATTAATTAAGGTTGGACCAGACGAGCTTTCGCTGTCCCTTCCAACCTGAGCGTGAGATCCTGTGCTGTAGGGGTGAATGGTGCTGGAAACCCTGGAGCAGAAACCCTGCTCTTCTGTGTGTGGTGCTGCTGCCTGCAGATGGAGTGACTGTGGGGTCTGGCTTGTGCAGGTTTCAGTGACCTTCCGCTTCTCTCTTGCAGGAAAATCTGGAAGCTGTGGCTAAGGAAAACAAGGAGCTGCAGGCCCAGATCAGTCAGTTAGCAGCAGACCTGGATGGCAGGATTTTGCACCGACTAGAGGGTGAGTGGCTGCAGCTGGTCACCAGGAAAGAGGTAGAGCTGGGCTCTCTGGGGTATTATCTCTTTGTTCACCTTCCTCCTCTTACAGGAGATGGAGTTGAAAGTGAAGCAATGACTGAAGAAATCCAAAAACCTTCCTTTGTGATCCCAGAGAAGTTTGAAAGCCATGAAGAAATGGTGAGGCTTAGAGGGTAGAAAAGCCTTTGTTTTTAGTTCTAACCGAACGGGTGGGCAGGTTAAACTGCAGAGAGGAGGCTGTTTGCCAGCTGTGATCCCTCCCAGCTGAGGTGCAGTAACGAGGGAGGTCTAACAGCTCCCTGTGCAAAACCCACAAGGCTTCAGCAGCATCCTGGCAAGATGGGCTGGAAGTCTGGCAGTGGCTTTAATTAGGAAAATAACTCCAATCAAACAGGTATCGTGGGAGCAAATATTAACCCACCTATTTGTACTAGGTGGGGATGAGAAGAACCAACCTGGTTTGGCTCCAGGCCGTCACTTAGTACTTTGGTTTCGTAGCCGTAAATAAAATGGGGTGAACTGTTCCTCTGTCCTGAGGTGCACAGCTGGTCACGCTTCCCGCTGATGTGCACACTCCCAAATTCTTCTTAGGTCTCGTTCTTGACCTGTGCCATGTCCCAAGTGGAGAGGGAGCGAGAGGAGATGAGGCAGCAGCTGGCTGCTCAGAAGCAGCAGTGCAGAAGCCTCCTGCAGCAAATCGCAGCTCTGAGGCAGGAGCAGCAACGTAACGTCGTGCTGGGCGCAGGTAAAAATGTGGGGCCGTCTGGGGGGCGGTGGGAATATGGAGAGATGTCTCGGCCAGCTGACCCTGGCCCCTTATGTCCCAGGAGGGGCTGTAAATTCCACATCCCTTCCAGATTCCACTGGGGACACTGTTCCGGTGGAGGTTCACGAGGCGTTGAAAACGGCCATGGAGAAGCTGCAGGTAAGCAAGGATCTCATCCTCTTTCAGCCCCACGACCTTGCGCAGCTGCACTGTGCTCTGGGGCCGGGTGGACGTCTCTCACGGCACGGACAGACTGTAGGGGGGCGAGTAGCACCCATTCCCTAATAACAACCTACTTCCTAACGAGCTTTTCGCTGCTCCTCTCCGCATGGGAGAGCTTGCAGTGGTAACTCCCCTCCCAGCCCCTCAGACCTGGGAATGGAAGGGCCTGGCACTGGCCTGTGGCCTTCTCTATACGAAATTCTTCACAGAGCGGGTGGGGAGGCACGAGGACAGGTTGCCCAGAGATGCTGTGGATGCCCCATCCCTGGAAGTGTCCAAGGCCAGGCTGGATGAGGCTTGGAGCAACCTGGTCTAGTGGAGGATGTCCCTGCCCATGGCAGGGGGGTGGGAACTAGATGATCTTTAAGGTCCCTTCCAACCCAAACCATTCCGTGATTCTAGGATTCTCTGCAGAAAGAGAGCACCAGGCCGAGTGCCCTCGCCCTGTGGGGCTGAACCAGGTGGTCTGCGGCCTCGGAGCCGCCGGCGACTGGAGCTGCGCTGCCTGGCAGCGAGAAGGTTGAAGGGCACTTTCACCTTCAGCCCTTCTGTGTCCCAAAACGCTGAGATTCTTCGTTACACCTTCCCTAGGTTCCTTTTCAGCGGCAAATCCGAGACAGGTTGTAAAGATTTGCTCCCTAGGCTCACAGCTCTGTGTAGGAGGGGTCGTCTTTACCGCAGGTAGTCTGTGTACGTGAAGCACTTGGGGTATTGACACCAACCTCCGTGTTCAGTCCCGTTTCACAGACCTGATGCGCGAGAAAGCTGACCTGAAGGAGCGGCTGGAGGAGTTGGAGCATCGCTGCATCCAGCTCTCTGGGGAAACAGACACCATCGGTACGTTCAGGTGACGCCAGCACGAGCTAAAGCTTGCTCGATGCGTTATTCATCTGGGGAGCAGACGGGCCCCAGCAGCTCAGGTCTCCTGCCGCTGCCTGGATCTACAGCCCAGGCTTGGATTGGCTATGGATCCTCGTGCCGCATCGTTCGGCGTGAGGCTCGCACCCTGCTCCTGCCAACGCTTACTCCTTCTCTCGCATGGCAGGGGAGTATATCGCATTGTACCAGAGTCAGAGGGCCATCCTCAAGCAGCGACACCAGGAGAAGGAGGAGTACATCAGCAGACTGGCTCAGGATAAGGAGGAGATGAAGGCAAGCAATCCTCTCCGTCGTACTGCTCCGAGCGGGGCAGGCCTGGGCCACACTTGCCCGCTCCAAACCGCCCCACGCGGTGTTTCGGCTGCCTCCAAGCTGCTGGTTTTGTGAGAGCCTGCGGCCAGGGACACGGGCACGTTTCATGGGCTTTCCTTTGCTTTGGGGCAGGTGAAGCTGCTGGAGCTGCAGGATTTGGTGATGCGTCTGGTCAGGGAGAGAAACGAATGGTACAGCAAGTACGTAGCAGCCGCGCAAAGCCCCGCGGCGTCAGCGGGTCAGCAGGAGGGCGCGCTTCCGGCCGAGAGGCGCGTGGAGCTCAACGCCACCGACGGAGAAGGTAAGCTGCGGCCAGGGCAAGCTCTGAAACGCGGAATAACCCGGGCTCTCTCACTGGGGCGCGTCGATGGGGAGTTACCTGCCTTGTCTGTGTCCGCGCAGGGTTACGGGAGGTGAGTTTATCAGACGAAGCAGAGCAAGAGGCCGCTGCTCTTCACCAGGCC